CCTCCGGGGCCAGCCGGCACACCTGTGGGGGGCGCTCCCTCTCCCTCCCGGCCGAGGCCCAGCCTCTGCTCTGGGTCTGGAAGGGCAGGGCGGCCAGGGCCCAGGGCACACTCGCTCCTTCTCCGGCCCCAGCACCTCCCGAGTGTCCGCTCAGCGGCGGTTCTTTCCGCTGAGACCTGGCTCCCACCCCGACAACTTCCTGACGTGGGTCGGCTCCTCCACCGGCAGCCAGTCACTGGTCCCGGCACAGCCACTGGGTTAGGGAAGGCGGCCGCTGACGGTGAGCCCTGCTGGAGGGTGAGCCCCGCTGATGGGTGAGCCCCGCTGACATGACGGTGAGCCCCGCTGACATGACGGTGAGCCCCGCTGACGGGTGAGCCCCGCTGACATGACGGTGAGCCCCGCTGACAGGGGAGCCCAGCCTGTGGCTCCGCCTGGCACTTGCCTTAGAACCCTGCTCCCTCTGAGGCCTGATGGCTCTGCCTGCCCTGGTGCTTGTCAGAACACAGACTCTAAATCCACACAGATGGTTGCAGCCATTGGTCTAACCCAGAGGTTCTCAACCTGTGGGTCATGACCCCTTTGGCAGTCGAACGACCCTTTCACAGGGTTCGCCTAAGACCATCCTGCATATCAGATCTTTACATGACGATTCATAACAGTAGCAACATTACAGCTATGAAGTAGTAACGAAGATAATGTTATGGTTGGGTCACAACATGGGGAACTGTATTTAAAGGGCCAGAGGTTGAGAACCACGGGTCTAACCCATCAGGCCCACAGGTGGAGGTGAGGTGCCATAGGACACGCATGTCAAACTCGTGGCCCCCGGCCTGCATGCGGCCACAATGAATATTTCTGTGGCCCGGCCAATACAATGATATGTAAGAAACGTTTTAATAAAAATTTTGTAACTTAATTTTTACAATATACTGTTATACATAATTACTGATAACGAACTACAACGTTTGCTGACTGATTACTACAATCGTGTTGCATTCACGTCCCTTACGTGCCTTAAGCACAGGCACACCATTTCTCTCCACTGACACTAGCAGGGAATATTTTAGCAGCCGATGGCCACGTCATTCGTCTTGGACTGACTTGTTTGGTGTGCGCAACAAGAAATACTTCGCTTTTGGAGAACAAGAAAAACAGGTTTATTTGCGTGACGCTTATTAATTTGTGCAGTTATTCAGTGTCTGGTAAGTTAATGCTCAAGAAGAGATATTAATTTTTATTAAAATGTTCTATTATTTTATGTTAACGACGACTCATTTATTCAGCCCTTTGTATTCAGCATGTCTCTATGGAAATAAACCTACGTTCCTATGAAAATTGAAGCTTGTGTTTTTTGCGGCCACATCAATGTAAACCCCGTTTATTTGGCCCGTGTTAGCCTCTGAGTTTGACTTGTTTGCCACAGGACCTCAAACTCCCAAGCTTTGGGGAACATGAAACATCCCGGTCCGAGGAGCCCTTTTAGAGTCACTTATTGGTGAGGGAGACGCTCTTGGACTTAGAGGTTGGCAGGTACAGGAAAAGCTTTCTAGTTCACGGAGACAAAAAATACCAAAACACTTGAGCACAGCCACCCCTTGCTCGT